CGTCGTCGTGCACCTTGGCAACGGACTCTACGGCCTCTTGATGGCGAGCCTCTGCGTGACGTCGACGCGACTCGACGCTGCCTTCGATTGTAGCTGGGCCACTTTGCTATCGACGGCCGAGACCAACCGCACCGGTTGTGGTCTCTGGGAATCGTGTGAGGATGCACTTGGCGCCAAGCTACTGGCCGCGAATCTCTTCGGCGGCGGCGTTATTCTGCTTTGGACAACGGCGCTCTGCACGGCGATGGCAGCTCCGCTTGTGCATTTTGGCTACCTCCACGCACCCGCCAAGGACCTCTCGGCCTTTGATGATACGTTCTCGATGACGTCGGACATTGAGGGGTCCGCGTACCTTGACCTGGACGAGGATTTTACGCGTCCTGCCTCGCCGACGAGGCGAAGTTTTCTCTGAGCTTTCCTTTGTCGCGTTCGACCACCTAGACGATTTTGTAGAGACAAATGAGCCGCTTTATGTATACAGTAGCCCGCACCTTAAACCGACAGAGATCGACGACCTTTTTTGGCGGTCAAAATATTGAACGCAAAGCTGTTATGCATGCCAAACGCACTGTAAATCGATAGCCAAGACGAAGAGGAACACCTTGACAGTTTGATCTTCTTCGTAGCATGTTTAGTTGTGGAGAATTTGAAACTCGAAGTGAGGCCATTTACAGAGGCGGAGGCTCAAATATGTCCACCCTCACGGTGCGTACACCGGGTCGCCCGACCCATTATCCGGATGAAAAGACACTATCCGGATCATGTACCCCGGGTCATAATTATTCGTGGGAGCAGCACTCGGCAATAGGGCGCGGGAACAAGCGCGCTTTGCAGCTGGATCGCGCCAGGGCGGCTCGTGAGGCCAAGCGTCAAGCACTTGCGCTAGGCGGCGTCATCGAACTGGACTCCGAAGCGAGCAACAGCAGCGAAGAAGAAGGCGACCGCGCCCACGAACCTTGCCTAATGGTTCTCGTACGTCCTTTGATCCACCCTTTGGTACCAACTGACGAATTCCATTAGGAAGAACCGCATGTGTATGAAGTCGACATGGATAACGATGACGATATTGATCTATGGAGCGAGCTCGATGCGTGGGGCAAAACGGGACGCCCAAAGGCCTTCTCACGATCCTCCGCGAGCGCGAGATACTCGGCCCTTCCGAGACGATTCGCGGGCATTGCAGGAAGACGCCCTGTGCGACCGAAGAACCGTATTCTTGCTGCGCGGTCAACTTGCTCGACCACCAACCCGACTTTGCCGCTCAGAAGTCGATGCTTAAGGAGGTCTTTGAAGGTAGCGGTCACATCATGGACCTCCTCCTCAAGTTCCATCCCGAGTTCAACCCGATCGAGAATTATTGGGGAAGCGCCAAGGTCTACTGCCGCCAACACTGCGACTACACGTTCAAGAGCCTTCACGAAACGGTTCCAGCGGCTCTCGCTCAAGTCCCTCTGCAGCATGTTCAGCGCTTCGAACGGCGTTGCCATCGCTACATGCAGGTGTACGCAGCTGGGCTTCCACCGCATCTCGCAGAGTTTGCCGTCAAGAAGTACAAATTCCATCGCTCCATTCCATCGGAGTGCCTCATGGAACGCATGGAGGCCGAATTTACAGCCTAAAAACCGACGTATATTTGCCCTATTTTCTTCTCTTGTGCGTTCTTCAGCTCTCTGCGGTGTCAAAACGACGCTAGGGAGGATTTTACGTATTGAAAAATTTCCGACCAAATTTGTCCACTTTGACTAAAATTGTCGGGTTAAGCTGCGGGCTACTATATAACCCAAGCTTTTGCGAAACATGGGCGAACACCTCTATAAACTAATATACATGTACTCTATAAAATGATATCGTAGGCACGCTGAAGCGCGACGGGAAAAGAGGCAATAGGACTTGACAAGTAGCGCGGCGATACAAGAGAAATGGAGAATATACAATAGTGTGCATGTTAGTAGTGCTACTCTCACTTGGGCTTCAGCATAATGTCATAAAACGTAATGTAGCTCATCTCATCGACACGACCATTTGTCAGGTGTTATGAATTGCATCATGGTCTTCGAAGCGTTCCAACTTTTCGACCGTAGACCCTTGTCTAACGCTAACACCAATACTAGTAGTCAATGAGGTGAAAAAGTCTTTTGGACTGCATGGATGTGTACGTACG